CTGCCGGTGTTCCCGCTCCCGCAGGGATGCGAAGGCACAGCCAACCCTGCACAGATGTGCTGAGCGCTCCCCTTTGCCTGGCTGCTGTTCAGCACGCTGCGGAGCGGGGAGAAGATCACCTCCTCCTCAGTCAGCACTTTAATAATAGCAATGATTTCAAAAGGGAAACTGTTCACCCTGCATTAGCAGACATGTCTGGGACCTCAACCTGCCAAAAAGAGAGGGCACGATGCCCCCCATGCTCCTGGTTCTGCCCCGAGCCACTGAAGGTTTAATGTCCTTGTAGCATCCGCTAGCAAAAGGCAAGACATGGAATTAGATCTACACCTTGAGCCTGACACCCTGCTGTGCTAGGAATCTGCATTTCCCTGGGTCTGCAAAATTTCACTGTCTTGATCTGCAGCGGGTATAGAAAGGATTTGGCTCGCTGCTGGTAAGTGGGCAAATTCTTATATGAAAGCCCTTGTTTTCAGGATCATCTCCATTCCTGATCACATCTCCATTGTGAAGAGCAAAACCCTTCTCTGAAACATCATTATTCAGTGCGCCAAGGTAATAAGAAAGCACTAGGGAGCTGGTACGGGGGAACACTGAAAACAAGCTTGCGCTCTGGTACAGGGGAATAGTTTTTCTATCCTCAGCATATACATCAAGTTTGACAGGACCCAGAGGTCAATACCACCTAGGAGGAGATTTGTTTGATGAATTCCTGTAAAATAAACATTGCTGCCACAGAGCAACAGATCCTCTGGGCATTTAAACAAGTACAGAATCCTTGCATGGACACGGGCTCAGGAGTCTTGGTTGGTAAAAGTAGTATCTGTTTAACGAGTCCTCAGGAATCCTCAGGAGCAGACAGGAGCAGCACGATAACATCAGCCTTTGCAAACACCACAGATAGCAAGACCTGTCACAGGGGCTTCACAGGGAACATTTTTTGCTAGGACACAATCACTGACTCCGTGTTTTGTGCCAAGAGCTTCTCAGAATGAAGTTAGTGAGAGCCTTGGATTTTGCAGTCCAGCTTATGGACTAACTGGAAAAACAATGTTAGGTAAAGAGAAAGGGAAAGCAAACAACGGAAGGAGGGATATCTCTAGATATCTAAATCAAGTCACATGAAAACAGCTAAGAACAAAGGCTAACATCATTTTCAGTTTCACAGTAGTTAGCTGAAAAGTCACTTTTTCTCCTAACCCGTGAAATTATTCTCTTTTTTTGGAGAAAAAGGAGAAGGCAGATACCTAGATATCATTGGCCATTACAGATTTTTAATACAGAAACTAAATTTAGCTCTCCCTTCACTTTTGTTGCTCCATGCACTGACATTTTGCAGATCTTCCTCTGTAATATATTTTTACTCATCTCCTCAGCATGGAAATATCCACCTCAAAAATTCTGAAAGAGCAAGGAGCTTAATGTAGGTATCCAAATCCTAGTTCACTCTGTTTGTACAAAATTAGTACTTGCCTTCCTCCACCAGCAGAACTGTTATGACTAAAAGCCCTGGCCTGGACATAGGAAATGTTCCCTTCTAGCCTGAAGACTGTTGTGATGACAAACCTATTTTAATGCCATCAGTGTCCTGTTAGAGGTAACGTAGCTGCTTTCAAACAGTGATGGAAGTTTAGTGCAAGTGGTAAGCACATAAACTGTTTTTCCTCCTCCCTCTTTAAAGGAACAAAAGGTAACCTATCAACAACAAAATTCAAGAGAGAATAAGCATATCTAGTGGCAAGCATAGTACAAAAACTACTACCTTTTCATCTACCATCTAATGCTGGTGCTGGTGAAAGCCATGAACCAAAGTCTCTACAAAGGTCAAGAGATCATATCCCAGTGTTTAGTAGTCAACTGTCAGATGTTGGGGAAGGCCAGTTATGTCCTTTAGCCTTGGTCCTTTGGCATCTTGGTATGTTGTATGGAAAGGCACTAAGTTACTGATTATTTCAGCCAGCCCTGAAAAAGCCAGGTGCTTTTCTAAGTGAAATTTAGGATATGGAATGCAAGATCCTGCCCCTGGCAGCTTTGAAAACTTTTTTTTTTTAATTTATTTTTGAAAGATGAGGGAGCATGTGCAGAGGAATCAGCTGGCAAAACTCCTCAAAGAGATACACAAGCACCTAGAAAAGTACTAAAAGAAAATCCTTGGAAGTCTTCAGTCTTAATGAGGCACAACAAGTTTCTGAGATTCAGATGGAGATACAAAATAGAAAGAAGAGAAAGAGGGAGCCAGCCATGATATACAGGAGCTGGAGGCTCTAAGAGGACAAAGAGACCTCATTATTTTCATTAAAGTACCTAACAAAATCTCTCTTCCCTGAGATACTCCAATTATTTGGGTTGGCCTTTGTCTGTACTATAGTAATTCCACTTTGAAAATGCCTTTTATAGGTTTCTGAAGCAATCTGAGACAGGTAAGCTCTTTACCAGATGGTCTTTTATTACATTTCACTTCCACTTCTAATGACTAAGAGTCCTGGGCGTCAGCCCATTTTGCACACACCATAGACATGCAGCTTTCATTTCATGCTGGTTGTCCATTCGGTATGCAGAGAGCTGGAGAAGCCCAAATGTGTTAACTGAGGTCATATATGAATCTTTAAATAAATGCAGCTTATTTTTAAGCTTGTTTGTTTGTTTCTGTTTGTACATCTGCCTTTGAGACACATTCTGAGGGGAATTCCTGAATTTTTAGGTCCCTGTGTGGGCATGCAAAGGATGGATGAACTCTGATATCCTGAATCTTCCTCTACCCTGCATTGCTGTCTCTATTGGACAGGTGGACCATCTGCAGTGTTTTCACTCTCCAGCTGCTTCCTCGTGGTCCTGAGGGTGTCAGTGCCAAGCTGGAAGGGTAAGAGGACACAGTGCTGTTGTGCTGAACTAGCCTGCCACTCCATGAGTATTCATAAGTGAATGCAGCAGGAGCCAAAAAGTGGCTGGCACTTCTGCAAGAGGGACAGCAGCCATGGAGAGCACTGGAGACTGGAGTGGCACATCTCTCTGTAAACTGCTACCTGCCACATTAGTGTGTTCCCTGATGAAACAGTGATCACACAACAGAACTTGCAAACAGTCCTTAGTGTGATGAGCGTCCAACTGGACCGCACAGGAAATAGTGTCATTTTTCTGACATTCTGTCAAGGATGGAATACCTGCTGGGAGCCTTTGGCTTAGAAAAACAGCAGGCATTCCTTGAAACTGTCCTGTCTCAGCCAATCCCAGCCGGTCTGCAGGCACTTCGATGCTCTTGTAGTGATGCAGTGGCAAGGCTGTTCTATATTACTGGGTCTCAATTCCATATGTAATGGGATTGTTGCTGTGCAGAGGCTCTGTGCTAATGTGATATATTCGCATCTTGGGTTGCAAGTGAACAGGAAGTCGTCTGGCCTGTCATGGAGCTGTAAGAGGGCTCAGATGTCCCAGCAACAGCTGACTGAATGAATGAGAAGAGAATTGGAAAAAATGTTTGGGGGGCGTCCTATATGACTGGATATTTCTTATCAGGTTTCCAGAAACCAGGCAGGATCATTCTTCTGTGCCTGTCATATAACTAATAAGCTGGCATGACGTGTGTGTGAGGGCAAGGCCATTATGGAGTGTGTCATAACTCTCTGAGGCTTACTGCAATAGCTTATATCTCATTTGTTCTGGTAATCATGATGGACATACTGTTAAGCTGTACTTTTTTGCTCAGCTATATAGATTGCTGTGTTGGCTGCATACTATTAAAGTAATTTGCTGTGCAAAATTCAATGGTAATTTAATTTATAAAAATGTTTACAGTGCAACATTAACTGCTACACAACTAGCAAGCGACAGTGCTGATCTTTGGTCCTCTGGATCAGCTTTTACCTCTGCCCTCTCCCTCCTGTACTGCATAACCTAAGCCATCCATTACAGAGGCTAGTCTGGCCTGACAATAAATATTAAGACCCAAGACACCTAGTTTTCTTTACTCTCTGCTGCTGCTGCTGTTCCCTGTGAGCTCTCTGTATTATCACTTACGTAGTTCTTGTCCGAATTTTAATTTCTGTAACTATAATAATACCTAAAAACTCTTGCTGAAGGACTCCGAGATCTTCAGAAATTAAAATGTTGCATCAAAGCCAGGCACTAGTATCCGCCCAGCCCTTTCTGTGTTAATTGTGACTAGGTGGGCTCACTTTGCTTGCGGGAATCACACTGTTTGCATAAGACCTCTCTGTGAAACATGGATAACTCAAGCATTACAAGAGTCCCAGGGTGGGTACTTTCAAAATTCCCTGTGCCCTCAGTAAGGTTGTGTCTATTCTTAGCTGGACTGACCTCACTGGAGACCTAGGCAAAACCTCAGGGCAAAGGGAGGAATTGGGGCCTTTTGGTGAGGCCTTTCCGCAGCCCCATTTCCTCGTCAGCTGGGTGCAGTGGGAGACCAGCCCCAGCAAGTCTGCCAAGCGTTTACAGCAACTTCCATTTCACCTGTGGGGGAGCATTTGTAGCTGCAGTGGGAGATGGCAAGAAAAGCCCCAAACAGCAGTGAGAAAACTGCTAGCTAGTCTCAGCCAGGCCTCATAACGCTCTCAGCTGGTTTTATCTTCACTTTGCTCGCCTAGGCCTGCAATGGGGTATGTTAGTAGGTGTTTCCATGTCTGTAAATGCCTCCCTAGCACCATCCTGCTTCCACCTCTGTGTTGGGGGGCTCACAAGCAGAGTGGTACTGCTGGAGCAGTGCCCTTAAGCTGCAGGAATCCCTCCACAAGTGACCATAAAAACAGAAAGTGTCTGTCACAACCTGGAGGTGCCCAAAGGTGGTCAGGAAGAGGAAGAAGGTTTTTGTTTAGGACCAGGAGAGATAAGGCAGGAGGAGACAGCAGGTCACCCATTGCCTTCCTGTCACGAGGGAGGGAAGGAAGGGAGGTCCTGCAGCTGCGGGGCTGGATCTGCAAGTCTGGCACAAAACCACGGGTTTCTTTTCAGTTTCGTTTCTCGCAGATGGGCTAAACCGTCGCTTCTGCAGCCATGGCAAAAGCTAAGGAAGAATTTGGGGAAGATTCTAGCCTAGAAGATGAACTGAGCTGTCCCATCTGCCTCAACTTGTATAGAAATCCAGTGTCCCTGAGCTGTGGTCACAACTTCTGCAAGGAGTGCATCCAGAGGACCCTCAGCACCCAGCAGCTGTCCAAGGCCCCTTACTCCTGCCCAATGTGTAAGGTGCAGCTGGGGCCTATCCTGGAGCTACAGAGGAATTTTCAGCTTTGCAGCATTGTGGAGACCTTTCTGGCCACCACTTTCAAAAAAAAAGAGGGTAAGAGGTCTCCAGAAGAGGAGGAAGAGGTGGTTCCCTGTGATTTTTGCCTGGATCAACCCCAGACAGCTGTGAAAACCTGCCTCACCTGTGACTCGTCTTTGTGCCAGGCCCACCTGAACAAACATGAGGCCAAGGCTTCGCAGAAGCACCATGTCCTGGTAGAGGCTGGTGCAGGGCGCTCTGCTGAGGAGCGGATGTGCCAGGAGCACAGCAGAGTGCTTGAGTGCTTCTGTGAGGACGATGGTGCCTTCATCTGCCTGCTGTGCTCCATTGAGAGCTCCCACAGAGGCCACCATGTCATCACCTTCAAGGAGGTCCACAGCGAATTGCTGGTAAGGGACACTCTGCCCAGCCTGAGCACAGCTTGCCCAGCAAAGCCCTGGGGGTGAGTGGGCAAGGAGGGGGCAGGAAGGCTTTGCAGAGAAAGTGGAGGGGTGGGAGCGCCTCGGGGGGTTTCAGCCTTCGCCTCTGTGGTGACCGGTCCACTGTGGTAGACTTTGCCTATCACTACTAATCGTGGGTTGCCAATGTGGCCTCACCTGTGAGGATGAAGAGCAGAGGAAGGCCTTGGGGCTGCCAGGGACTGGTGGGGAGAAAGCCTGTAACACCTGCGGTAGGCAGGGCTGCCCAGTGTTCAGCGAATGTGTGTGAAGCGAGTGAAGATGGGTTGTTAACGTCACCAAAGCCACTGCCTGCTGCTTGCCCTGCTGCCCGTGGCACAAGGAAGCCGCTGGCCTGCGCAGCTGTGTGCGCCTCGCTGCCTAGCGGAGCCGCGAGCAGAGGGAAAAGCTGGGCTCCTAGGGAAAAGCTGGGCTCCTAGGGAAAAGCTGGGCTCCTCGGGAAAAGCTGGGCTCCTCCGGGCAGAGACAGCGCACAGCCGCCGAGGGAGTCAGTGAGAAACATCCTCGGGGCTTCTCTCTTTCATAAACTAACTTATGTGTTGGAAAATAATTTCCTGTGTCCCCAGCACTGGTGAGAGAGCAACACTGCCCATTTTATGGGACGCTACCTCCATGAGTCTGCTGAGATCTCGGTGGCAGTATTTGTCTTTTGAAAAAATTCTTCTAGTAGCCAAGAAAATCAGGAATGCAGCCCTTCAGGAGGAAATGGAGAAGGGTTTTGGTGCAAGGAACCAGTTGGATTTGATTAGCTGTCTTTTGCTTTTTACAAAAGTTAACATTTTCAAGCTGTGACAGATAGCTCACAGAAAGCCTAAGCTTTCTTGCATCATTTTTTATTAATGGGAGAGGAGAAGCTGGAACATGGCAGCTGTGCTTGTCAGCAGCCACTAAAGATATTCCTGGTGTTAAAACCCTGCCGAAGACAGGGGAGGAGTAACCAGTCCCAAGCATGTTACAGCCCAATAAATAATATTAGGAGATTAATCTCCGAAGTTTAAGATCCCTCCTGAAACGTGCTATAATAACATTCAATAATTGTGAAACCCAGTAAAACAAGCAGCTGTGTGAGTCAATTATCAGAGTCAAGCAGATCTTATGAAAAGATGGTTGCTCATCTTACCCTCAGTTTCCGCAAATGGAGACAGATGTGAAAACTAAGGTTGTGGGTGGACACAGGTGGAGATTTTGGCAGAAAGAGAGCTGTAAGAGATGAACTGAAATGTCTTTGCTCTGATTATTATAATTAAGCATAATTTATTTAAAGTGAATTTAATTATTCCTACTATTCTTAGTATTCCTACTATTATTCCTATATTAACCTACTTCATCCTAAATCACATATATAAAAAAATAAAACATTGACTTCAAAGATTCCAAGAATCACATCAGATTTTCAGTTATGCTCTGTCTTTATGAGGCAAGTAAACACAGTTTATGTAGGCCTCACTGCAGAGAAATGAGTGCCTACGAGAGCAGTAAGATAAAAGCTGCATGTGCTACTCCCTAAACTGCCAGTGTATTTTAAAATTACCTGTGTTGTTTGCCCATTATAAATGTTAATGCTATCTTTCTTTCTACTAGGGTGTTCTTTCTCACACTGTGAAACGGATGCAGGAAAATAAAAGTGCTCTAACTAATGCCTTAGAGAAACTACAGGAAAGTGAGGATCAGCTCAAGGTTTGTGTCCAAGTCACAGCAAATTCAGGGCATCTTCCTTCATAATTTAAAAAAAAATAAATTATGGCAACTAAAACACAGTGCCCTGTGCTGCCTTCCTTATCCTGCCTCAAACGACTGGGGAGCAGTCAAATCAATTCTCTGCAGTTCTACTTTATTTTAATAAGGGTTTGTTCAAGTCTCAGGATCCATTTTGGCTTACTTAAAATACTTAATTCATTCTTGCAGTGTTGCTTATAAAAAGCACTAATTATTGTTATTAGATCTACAATATCGATAGGTATGATATGAATAGGTAAAGTGAGGAACAGAAAAATTTCTGAGCAAGAACATGGCAGATAAGGAAGAAAATAGAAAACTTTTTCAACTACATATGCAACCAATAATTAGAGAAACAGATGAGCAGAAGGAGATACAGTTCAATGTGAGGAAAACACTGTTGTAAGAAACTGGCAGAATTCAGGCTCCCCCCTGGCATCCCAGCATATCTATACGGAAGGAAAAGCTGGTAAACTCTATGATTTAATGTGGTTGCATAAACCAGGCTGCAGAATTCCAGTCAGAGGCCACACTTTGTACATATCATTGAACATTTTTCAAGTTTTCTTATTTATAAAAGAAAACCATCTTGAGTATATAAGTGGGGCTTTCAGTGTGAGTCAATGAGATTCTTGCATTACTAGCTGAATTTTGTCTGATTTTATTGCCATATCAGGATAATTTTCATAATCCCATGTTTAATCAGATATTCTAAGCAAATGCTTATTTTCTGCATCCTTCTAAATGTAGTGCAAAGGACAGATACAACCCTAATTAACAAACAGACACACTACACTGAATTGTTGAGTTCTTTTTCTTATCTGCTCCTTTAGACCAATACAAAAACAGTGACATCTCAGCTGGTTAAGCTGTTTGAAGAAATCAGGGCACAGATAAATATGAACGAAGAGCATATGCTGAGTAACATCCAATCCAATGAGAAAAACCAATTGTCAGACATTGCTGAAGTGAAGAAGAAAATGGAACAGAAGAGAGATGAGGCTGCACAGCATCTTCGGTCTTTACAGAAGTTGAGAGAGCAACCAGATACTTTACTCTTCCTCAAGGTATACAGCAGCATTCTACTTTTTCTTATCAATGTATGCAATGGCTGCCCTTTCTGGCCACCACACTAACAATTTCTTTCTCTCTTTTTTTTTTTTTTTTTTTTTTTTTTTTTTTTTTTGGAACATCTTCTTTGTAGGAATTTAAGCTGATACAAGATAGGTAAGTTCCACATGAAAACATTTTTCTTTTTTAATAAAATATGACATTGATAACTGGAGCTCTAGAAAACACTGTTTGTGTCCCTCCATCCTCACACTGTGCATCACAAACCTGTTTTTTATTCCAATTGAGTTAATGCACCATGTCCACACAATTAATGACAATGGAGACATATTTGACTATCATTCTAGTAGTTCCTTTTAGTTTCAGTCATCCTGACAGCTACTTGTTTACTCAGTTCTGATGAAAACCACTGACTTTCATTACAACAAAGATGTTTTTACCAGAGAAGAACATCATAGGGTTCAGTTAATGAGAAGAACACGCTCAACTGATGTGCCAGTGTTTCAGACACTGCTGTACCTAAGTTACAGTAGACGGCTTTTCATTGCAGAATTAACAGGCTCATTTTTTTGTAGATTTTTGATTTCTCTTTTGAACTGGTTTAATAGCTTGATGGTTTTGTTATGCCTTCTCTGGTAAGTACAAGAGGTACATGTAGTTTATGATTTATCACTTCCTAATAGACATTTGGGTGCCAGTTGTTGGCATGGTTTTGCACTTTTGAATTACAGTAAGTTAAAGATCCTCTACAGATTTTGCTGCAGAAACAAACTATCCAGTCATGTGAAGGACTAGCTCTAGTACCTAGCTGAATTTTAAGATGTCATTTTTATACCTTGTACAAATGAAGGCTGAGCTTGAACTTGGACTGTGAGGATAACTTTGAATCACTGTGTCCCTGGAGCCCTTGCTGGCAGCAACACAGTTCATTACTCACAGCTGTGCTGCAAGTCAAAATCTAGCCTGTGGGATCAAAGCCATTTTCCAGAAGCCTGGACACTACTTAGCACATTTGGCATTTTCTTTCTATCACAACAGTAGTTACTCTACCTACTGTAACAGTCTGGCTATAACAGGTCAAACAATATTCACACAAGAATATTTATAAAATGGCTCCCCCTTTCCCATTTTCAGCATTTAAAAGTTCCCATCCAGGTGTAAGTGTTGTCTAATAAATTGTTATTCATAAAAATTGTGATTTGTTTAACTTGCATAAAGAGAATCTTCACATGATATTCTGTATTGTCAAAGAATCTTCCTTTTCGTAGAGTTTTTTTCTAATTAAATGGGCTCGCCCAGCATTAGAGCTTGTTAATTGTCCAATGCTTGATGGTTTTCATTGATGAACTGACTGTCTATGCATTCCAGGATTAAGAATCAGAATTTCAAGCCTGACCAGATGAATGTATTAATAGTAGAAATGGATGTAAACAAAAGCCAGAGATGGAGAAACCTGACGAGGATGTACATGAGCCAGCTGGACCTTCTGATGCAGGAGCTGTACAGTAAGTGATCTGCCTACACCTCCAGCACACAAGTGACCCAGAGCAGAAAATGGCAAGCAAAGGACAAGATCCATCCAGTGAATTGTGCTCACGATCTGAAAATGTTAATTCTTTTTCAAGGGACAATGTGTGTGGCCTTGGGGGGGATCAACTGGCAGTCTGAAGTGAGAGCTCAAGTAGGATTTTGAGGGGCTGAAAATACTGCATGGGGAGAAATGAAAGCAGTGGGGACAAAAAGACCATTTCTGTGAATAAGAAAGAAGGGATCTACTACTCACCCAAATCAGGCCTATTTCCTTTCATGCTGGTTTTTAGCTCTCACCCGCCTCCACAGTCTTTAGATGTTCAGACATGCTATTGAGACACATACTCTTCATCTGCACACCTCCACCCCACCCTAGATAAATCCCTGACAATGAGATCCAAGTGCACAACACCAAGACCCAATTTCGAATACATTACCAGCTGTGTAAAACATTCTTCTTAACCTTCCTAGGTGAACTCAAGAACCAGTTACGGCAGAACAGGTACATCCTTTTCCTATGAAATGTTATCTGCAAATTTCTATTTTCTATGTGTTCTCTCTGTCTTCTGTTTTAAGAGGCACTAAAATTCAAAGCTGTTTCTTTATAGTGAGATATCAACTGATAATGCATTTTCAAAAAGTAAGTGTTCATAGAATCACAGAATGCTTAAGGTTGGAAGGGGCCTCTAGAGGTCATCTAGTCCAACCCCCCTGCACACATAGGGTCACCTAGAGCATGGGGCACGGGGCTGTGTCCAAGCAGGTTTTGAAGATCTCCAGAGAAGGAGACTCCACAACCTCTCTTGGCAACCTGTTCCAAAGTGTTCAAAAATACTAGTTTTTATTTAGGACTCTGGCTTGGGCCTGTGAGTCTTGCAGAGAAAATATCTCATCTAAAAATGTCAACAGCAATCTGTAGCATGTATTTGCTGCTCACCTCATTTCTGTTAAGGAGAGGAGTGCAACCTCTGGACACAGGGCACAGTTCTCAAGCTGTAGTGGGCAGAAGTCTGTGAGAATGCATTTGAGAAATTATTTATTTCAAGCCAGAAAAAAAAGAGTGGTTCTGCTCCATTACTTGTTAAAAGTTCCAGGAAAGACCACAGAGGGGTTCCCATTGACTGAGAAGGAGCTTGCACAAATCTAGCACCTGAGAGAATTCCCAGAGAAATCCAAATGCTACAGGATATATAAAATCTGTAAACATTATTTCTCTTCAGATACTACTAATTCAATGCCCAGCTAGTGCTGATGGATAGAAAATGGTATCTCTTTTCTATACACTTTTTTGAGAAAAAAAAATGCAATTAAAATATTTTAATTGCTGCCTTTTAGCAACTAAAGTTCAGTTCAAAAGTTCTGAAAATTTTAAAATAATTTTTTTTTCACCACCTTTTTGGGGGGTGAGGTGTGGGGGAAACATTCTGCCAAGCATTTCTTATAGCAGATTGGTAGTAAAATCCGAGTGAGCTTTACAGCAGTGCCGATGCCGACTCCACGAGACGGAATGAACGACACTTCAATGTGAAGCAGGTTCAATTCACTTTACTATTGTCTACTATGTAGCTTTATACAATCTTTTAAATCAATTATTAAGATGTCCCAATCATTTTGGAAGGTTCTCTATTTCCATTTCTATTTATGTTTGCATAGCTTCAATTTGGTTTCCTCTCTAGAAATTG